ATCAATTTTTTGTTCATGGTAGCACCTTTCATGTACGTTTGTCGTTTTAAAAATGCTTTTAAACTCTTATACTTAKGCTTTACTTGTTGCCTTTTAAATTGAATATTTAAAATGAGAACTTTAAGTAGAATTGTTTRCTGGGAAAGGTTGAAAGGTCACTCATAATCTTTACTGTGTAATTATTGCAGGCTACGAATGAGAATCTTCCTCCAAATGTAATCAAGCTACTTGCTAGGGAATTGAAGAATCTCGATGAAACACCAGCAGAAGGAATTAAAGTAGGAGTGAATGATGATGATTTTTACCCGTCTTTGTCTCATGTAATCTGCATAGCAAACGCACCCTTAATGAACTTTTTACATCCCGCCGCATTGCGCGGGTAGACAAAATATTATTAAATAAATAAGCTTGTTTAAATAAATTTGTTTATTTGTTGATAAAAATTTCGTAAAATTTGGGCCTAAAAATGTTATTAGGATTACATTTATTTAATTTTACAGTCATTTTTCTAAATATTACGAAATTTTCTATTTCTAAAAAACACGTTAATTTGATTTTCTGAGTTTTTAAGAAAATTGTAATAAATTTTAGAGTTTAAAAAAATATTAAGTGGAACTTTTTTGTGTAATTAAAATAATATATTTTACAATATTTTTGAATAATGACATGTAATTTATTTTCTTGGTTGGCGTTAAAAAATTAAAAAAATGACATGTCAAAAATACTTGGCATTTGCATGTCATTAGAGCAACTCCAATCGAACGGCAAAACCCTAATTTTGCCGTTCTTTTGGATCCAATCGCACGCCAAAAACACCAAAATTTTGCCGGAGGAAGGAAATGAACGGCAAATTTGCCGTGGAAGAGGTGAACGGCAAAAGGTTTGAGTTGAGTATCTTTTTGGTGTTAACGGGCCCACTTATTTGGTGTTTTTTTTAGCGTCAAGGTTGGAGTTGCCCTTAGGTATATTAGTTACTTAAAAGTTTGAGATTTCAAATTTTAGATATTAAAATGATAGTTTTAAAGTATGTTATCCAAACTACCAAAGGGTCTTTGGTCTAGCGGTATTGTAACCCTTGCCTTCTAGGAGGTTAGGGGTTCAAACCTCACAATAGATGAGGAGAGTGTGTGAGTTTATTTGTTGCATTTGCCGTATATAAATATTATATACTTCAAAAAAAATATGTTATCCAAATAAGAATGAAACTAAAGTACATTAATTTTTTTATGTAATTTTCCCTATAAAATTGAATTTTGGTAGAGAACGAACTATTTTGTTTCCTTGAAATAAATGGTACAAATTTTTTGTAGGATAACAAATGTATTAAATGATTTATTAATGTAATTAATGTTGGATTGTTGTAGAGACTCTTTAAGCCGGATGAATTTTTTTTTAGAGATTTTGATTTTCTTTATATTTTATTTTAAAAAAATTATAAATAAATGGTTAAAATACTCTAATCTATTTTTCTTTTAAGTTTATTGAAAAACCTTTTCATTAATCATTAGTTAGTTTAAAAAAAAACTAATTCAAAGAGAGTTTCAATATATCCTAGTGGATTATTCCCATAATTGTACCTCTTTATATTTTCTGCGATGCTCTTTTTTAAGTCATTTTATATCATCATCTACTTTATCAACTAGTTTTTATCAAGTATGATTAATTTATGAATTAACAACTTTCTTTTTTTTAGTTTATTAGCTAATTTGTTAAATATAACCCAAACCTAATAAAGAAATCATATGTATGCATATCTTACATCTAAAAAAAAGGGAAATGAGTAGATTTTTTCTAAATATGGTGGAAATGTAAGGGGGGGATTGAACAACTTTTGATATAGCAATTACAAGTCATTATGACAATCAACTTCTAAAAATGTCAAATGTGATGCAGCAAGTGAGAGTGAAGAAGATGTAATATAATGTTCTGGAGATACTGAACACAGTCTCAGAGAAACCCTTGTTTCATCTTTTAAGCTAAATAAGAGAGATTAACAACACTTTTAGAAACACAAAAAATCAGTTAACATTTCATCCATCAATGTGGTAAGGATGGCGTTCTGGATCACCACGCCTTCTTCCAAGGCTTCGGCCTTGAAATCCAACCATTTCCCATCCCGACTACTCATATCTTTATCCACAACTTCATCCACCATCAAATCTTCCATGCTCGTGCAACTGTATATCTCTTTCTGTATTTCATCAGCCAACAGATCTTTCCTTTGGAACATCGTTGACCATTTTGCCCATTCTTCATAGCTACCACTCAAGGCACGGTCACGCCTAGATTCTAGGCATGCACTCACACAGTCAAACAAAGCCTTCCTTTGTACCTTCAAGAATGGGTCCATGTTTTTGTTCTGGTTCTCGAGCTGGTCAAATAGATGGGCATTTATGACCTTTTGGGTATGGCCGAAAGAGAAGTCCTCGAACACTAACTCTGCATGGATAAGCAGTTCTTTGATATAGTCAAACTCCCATTGTGACGACCATCTTTCCGTGGATGTGAATTCAAATATGGTGCTAGGTAGAGATGTGGCAGAATCTTGCAATTCTATCTCCTCTGCCAAAAGTTCCATGCTTCTTGTTGATGTGCACTGCTTGTTTCCTGAAAAGAAACATTTGTAAAGTTATATTGTTGTCATTTACCAGATTTCGACAATGTGTTGATCGGGGCTCACAAGACAGGACAGGACAAAAACCCATTGTCCCATGTTTGGTGCAACAGCAAGACTCGAAATGGACAGTACTGAGTGAGACAAAAACACCTCTTTCCGTCCCACCAAAAATAGGTCGAACAAAAATCAGGGAGATGAGACAAAATTGGTAAATTACTAAATTACTCGTGTCAAATTCAAACCCTAAAACCTCGCTCTCGTAAGTCCTATCATGTCTTGTCTGCGTGTCAAACGCACCCTCATGGTTGTACATGATGCCACCCATCTTCATAGAATAGTGGGAGGTGGGTGGATAAACAAGATTATTCATGAATTATTTAATGGCTACCAGAGAAAATCTAACCAAAAGTCAGATCGGCTTATCTTCCAATATCAGATAGAAAACAGATGTATTAAGGTTCATACTATGGCAACCAAAGGGCTATTGGTCTAGCAGTACCGGTAGAGCCCAGCCTCCCGGTAGGTGAAAGGTTCAAACCTCACCAAAGGTGAGGAGGGTGTGTGAGTATTTGCCAAATATAAATATTATATATTTAAGAAAGAAGCAGCTGATGCCCAAATTAGATATTGTTGGCAGTAACAAAATGACATTGTTGGCAATAAAATTATAGAAACACTTGGTGTTTTATGGAAAGCCTGATTTTAGTAAATTAATGATCTCCAAACATGGCAGAGTAGTCATTTTCTCATCTACAGAAAAAGATAGGTGATGCAGTATGCTTACCGTTGCTGGTTAAGGTGGTTGTGCTGTTCGATGTGATGCAACTATCATCTGATAAAGAGGGTTCCAGACTAGAAAGTGTGCAAGGATGCTGATACTGATGTGACATCCCGCTTTCTTCAGTTTCACTGTTGCTGTTGCATTCTTTCACTTCAACTCCCTGAAAACAGAATAAGGTCTCAATATAGATTGTCATTGTTTAGTAAAATAGTTTCAGCCAGTATCATGCAAAAAGTAGGATCATAAGTCACATATAACTCAAGTGAAAGCATGAGTATCCAGGCAACTAAACTGAAGAAGTTATCTTCTATATCTGAAACCTCAATCATTGTTGTAACCTACAGCTGCACCCGACATATACCCAGTTGATATCAAAATGCTGAAATCTAATGAAACCACGGGAGATGGACAAACGCTAAAGATTTTCAAATTTTCCGTTGTACTCAGTCATCGGCACGACCAAAAGAGTTTCTAAGAAGCTTGAATCTGCTTTACATGTTGGTATCACAAGGCATCATCATATTCTATACCCCTTCTTCATATTTAGTTTTATCACTTGGATCAAAAAATGAAGTTTCAAAACCAATTCTTCTCTTCTAACATAAATGCTACACAAACACCACTTAAGACATAATCACATAACATATTCCCTCCTCTGCAGTACAAACCTGCCTTTAAATCTCCAACACTGACATCTACACATCTTTTTCTCCAATTTCACTAGGTGAATACTAAGGTTTCTTTTGATTAGACTGATACTATATTGTAATTTATGAAATATAATATGAGCAACACTACATATTATGGAACCCTGGACATAGAGAAGCAAAAACATATGCCCACAGGCTGAATAGATAAACATAAGAAACCCTAATTTTAGCCTAATTTCAGTTCCACTCAACTTCGAACATAGGTACATTTCTCAACTTGACAAACAAAAAAGAAGTCTTATTTTCATAAATTGAAAACATCGAGAAACCAAAACCATTATAAACTGAAAAAAGATACAGATGCCTCCTCCTGTAAGGAAGCATTCATCGAACTTGCTCAATATAAGATTCCTCCTCAAGATGCCATTACTGGAAAGCATTCTTGAGATCAAACCACGCGGCTACAAAGCAGAATGTGGGTAGGAAAAGCCACATGGCGAATAGGTTTGGTTTAGGATAACTCACGGGTCAGAGTTCATAATCGAAAGGCACACTACATGTCAAATGACTCCCTTAACTATTTCCATCTTCAAAGCCGCTAAATTACTCATCCAAGATACTACCATAACTGATTGGGTGGGGGTTAGGATGAGAACAACCCAGATGAAGAGAGTACTTTCAAACAACTAGACCGAAATGAACAGAATGACATAATTGGCAGCTGACTGAAATGCAAATACAATCCTTGAATCTCTTGTTCTGCAAAGCAGTATAAATTGAGGTCCCTGAACCTTTCGGAAAGTACAAAATTGTCCCTCATAATTGTAAACTACAGAAGGAATATTGGATTTCTGAGAAGTTCAGAATTACATCTCACTTAAACATAATGAAATACTAGTCCTTGGATATTCTAGAATATACAATATTATCTGGGGCTGTTGAAATACTGTGAATAAAACAAAATATCAGGAAAGATCAAAATCTCCTGACATGAGTAGACTAAAGACCAGATGATATTGACGAGAACCCAAAACAATACACGAACAGATCTAAGGAATGTGATAGTCTGTTTGACTGTGAGATGAACACTAAGGCAAACAACACAAGCTGAACTCAAAAGATAATAAATCAGGATTATGTAGACGACAATGGTTAAGAAATAGATTTACATCAGGCAGACATAGAGTCTAAGCAAACAGTAACCATGAGGGGCAACCAAACAAGAAGAGCAGGTTTTGATGGTGACAATCAAGTCATTTGCAGAAGAGAAGCTCTGATGCAGCTTTCTGGAGGTATTAGAAGGTGTTAGGAGGACAAGACAGATGCACATAATGGCAATGAGATTCAGGTAGGACAGCAGCAGATGCCATAGAAGGCTTGAAGAGGTTGTTGGAGTTTCTGCAGGCTGCAACATGGCTTCATCAGAGATAGACCAACTAAAATTCAAATACTACGACTCTAAGGCCATCAACTACTAGGTACCTCCCCCAATGTAAGAAATGTTCCATGTTTATCCAAGCTCTAATACCATGAAAATGATTAGGGTAACTCAACGTGTACACTGGTGGACCCATGAAGACATTGAGTAGTAAGATGGGCCTGCAAGCCTGGACTAATAAGCATAACAAGGCCTAATTCTAATTTTATCTCCTCATAAGGAATAAGATAGGATAACCAATGCTGGTTTCCAATAATTATTAATTTAATATTATTACTTTTAGCATAAATTTAATCTCCAATCTCTTTTGCTGAGACTTTAGTTCACCAAGACTGAATACCTATATAATGATTAATGAATGAGTGCCTCCCAAATCAAATTAGCTTGGTTTTTTTATAGTTTCTCTGATACTTCTCTCAAGAGTCTTGTATATGCACCAAGGTTCCATAATTCAGTATTATAGTGAAGGGTGTTTGAACTCCTCATTAACACTTCCACCTTTCCAGAATTTTGTCATTGTCAAGGCCGAATCCCAGCTGGCAACCAGATCTGTTATATGTGCTTGAACATGTATTAAGCATTGACTTTAACCTTCTTATTATCTAGATTCTTCTTGACTTACTGTAAAGTTTTTTTCAGTGTTGGAATATTACTCTGATCTCAAACTGTTAATTAGTCCTAGAATGCAGTATCTCTGATTCTAAGTGGGCGTCTTGAGATTGTAGCAATTGAAAGCCAGTTTAAGCTTTTATGGGGTAGCAACCATCAGTCTGGTTACGCTGATGTCACAGTTTACCCAACTTGAATCTCAGAACTATAAGTAACAGTTTGAGAGAAAAAGGAAAGCTTGTATTCAGTATTTAAGTTGCTTATATGGACTTTTGTTCATGGTTTTACATTCACCGAACAAACATTCCCCAGATACGTTTGTGGAGCACACAGAATGCTAAGGCAAACACTTAAATTATACTCTTAGGAGAAATACCATGTCCAAAACACTAACAATGCATGGCCCTAATTTCCTAATTTTTCCATCTCTTGGGTTAACTGTATATGTAAAGATCATAGCAAACAACTAGAGTTTCCAAACCCTGAAATGTCAAACAGAATGTACATTATTAGCAAGAAATTCACCCCATAAAACACAACAATCTTTAACATTACTGTAATTAGAATCTTGGAAGATAAACTGCAAGCAAGAGATACACCAAGTTTAGTATTTTCCTGATCCTCTTCTTTTTTAAAGTTTTTCACACGAGTGTACAGTTTCCACAGTGAGATATGTGTATTGTTACAAGCTGCGAATAATACCTGCCACTCCAGTTTAGCTTCTACCGGCATCTGATCAACTGAAGAAACATCAGAAACATGTTCGATCACACTTTTGTCCTTCTGCATATTGAGATGAAACATCTTGTCATGTTTAGCAGATGCACTGGTTACCACATCAAAGCAAGGTAAGAAACCCGGTATTGCAGAAGAAGAATTTGGAGTAGGGCCTCCTCTGACAGTGTCACACTGGGACGTCTCAACAATAGATGATAGTTCCTTCAGTTTCTGTTCCAGTAGAGCACTCAAAGCATCACTATCAATCATAGGTGCCCTAAAAGAAGGAAACTCTGCAGTCCCCGTGTCAGGGTGATCATCCTCAAAATTAAGACACAGGCCTCGACTCTTCACTGCTGATTGACCAGAAGGCTCAGATTCAGGCACTGATTTTTTAATAGGTGACGTGAACGTAAAGGACACAACATCCATGCCATTTTTCCTGTCAACAGACTCCCAATTTGAAGACCCATCTATAGTTATATTACATTTTACAGACCTTTCTTTTTCCTTCATCTGTACATTATTAGCAGTAGTTCCATCAAGAACAATATCCCTATCAGTTGGCCTTTTCTTCCCGGAAAAATTCTTCGTTTTAGTCAACGAGAATTCCTTTCCAGTTTCATATGTCGCTAACTGAACTTTTCTAGCCCCAACTGCTGAGTTTTCAGTGGCCTTCTTTGAAGTCTTAACTTCCCTACAGAAACCATTTGTAGAAGTTGCTTTTCTGTCATGTTGACAGGGAACTCGAGGTTTCAAACTCAAGCGGTCTTTCTGAGATGCACGGTTCTGCTTTTGATTATTCTGTGTGAGCACCTCCGGAGTCTTGCCAGTTTTTGATCTATTCTGCACCCTTTTTGGTGTATTTCTTTCTTTTTTATCCAATTGGACAGCGACAGACTTAACATCATCTTCTTTCTGCTTCATGTTACTCCTAGTATTTCTTGAAGTGGTTCCCTCTCCTTTCTGAATGGTTGGTTTCGCTGGAGTAGTAAGTGAAACAGATTTATTCTTTTGCTTCAAACTTTCTGCAACACCTTGCTTTAAAATCACAACTTCTGACCGACATTGATGCTTGTCAGGAGGCTGTAATTTGGAGGAACTGGCAGGGCTATGCACTTTGGGTCTTTGTGATGCTTCAGGAATTCTTGATGTTCTGTGTGCGGCTTCCATTTTCTCTTTTAGATCCCGGATTTTGAGGGGAACTGAAGAAGTCCCAAAGGATGGCAATCTTCCACTGAGAGTAGAGTGGGGACTCTGTTCAATCATCTTGGAAGCTGCCTCCATAATATAAGCCGCATTTCTTGAAAGGATGAACCCTGGACTCTTGATAGGAGATAACATTCTGTGGTGAGTAATAGGTACAGATTTAGCTGATCTTGGAGGTAATACCTCGGTTTGAAATCTCTCAATCGGTCGGTTCTGCAACTTCTGTAACCTATCTTCTACTGGGTTCCTTGAAAAACCATCCAGCTTATTTCGCATACCCGCAAAATGATTTTCACTTTCAAATTCAGTGGTGGTCCTCGGGTGAAGAGAACGTCTAAAAGAGTGAGAGTCAACAAATGGGGTAAAACCAGGATCAGAAGCATCTAAAGTTGGCAAAGAATCTAATCCCATAAGTCTAGCCACCACCCCAGGGGCTTTGGTTCCACATCCTTCATCATTACTCATGGATGAAGCCCAATCACTTCCTGTCAGACTTGGACCATGCAAAGCCTCATCTAATTCCATCTACATATATTCAAGTCGTAGATATGTCAATTCTTTATAATACATTACATATCTCAATTTTTCAGTAAACAGGAAAGCAAATGAAACATTGTAATGGTATATGTGAGAAGTCACGAATTATGGATTATGCTATGGACAGAGCAATAGTTTTTGTATGTATATTTGTGTGCATGATCAAAAGGGATTGTACCTGCTGAAGTCTCGATATAGCCAAATTGTCTAAATTTTCTTTTCCATGTTTTGAACTTTCTGTGTGACACCAGACCATTAAACATAAGTTTGGGAAAACCAATGAGCTACAGGAAAAGCACCAAATTAGCATTTTGACTGTCAAATAGAGGAAAAAGTAGTAGTTTACCTGGTAAATCCGGTTTATTTGAGAAGAGCTTTTTCCGAGATTTGACATTCCAGTCAAACAACTGAAGAAACCCTCCCTTTGAACTTCGTTTCTCCACTTCCATTTTCTCATATACGATTGAAATATAATATCTGAAACAAGAAACAGAAATCAACAAAACCCCACCTTTGATGTAACTGCAGCAATCAACAAGATAATCCACAAGTGCAAACTGTAAATCTCGTTACAACTTACAAATACATCTTCTATCTAACACGCCATATCAAAACCTTTTTTAATTTAGAAGCGAAATAATCTGACCTGTAAACTAATTGCTCACTAGGCCCTGAGATTTCATACATTTACTTGCATCAGCAAGCAAAAAATTATGTTCACAAAACTGTAGCTTAGATGAATCCATGTTGCTGATTTAGCAGCTCCAGTAAACAATCCCTTGCATTGAACGGTATAAATTCCAAATCCATAGATTAAGAAACCATAAGAGCCTCCCCCTCGTTCAAAGAAAAACTATATTTCTAGAATCTAGAGGTCAAAAGGGCAACCTTTTTCCTTTTGGTCATTTTCAAAATTGGTATGAGATGTAATATTTTTCCGAGAAAGAAATACCTAATAACATTAAACTTGATGGCAAATACTACCAGTAAAATAATGTAGCTACTATATTTACTACAAACACTACACCGATTTTGTATTTTGAATACTAGGGTTGGTAACGACAAATTAAAGATGGGATGGAGGTTGACATCTCGTTGAAACAGCTACAGATTCACAATTTTATATCAACATCCATATCCTGTTATAATATCATTGAAACAAAATAAAAAGAAGAAATTCAACATCACAATTACTACTCGAACTTACCAAGTCAATGAATAGTAAAAATACTCTCGTCTACGAATCCCAGTCTCAGATCATATCTTCCGTTTTGTTTCTTTTAAGAAAAATCAAAGCATTGACAAAGCGTAAGATCATAATCTAGGGTTTTGATGGCTTCAAATTTTTGAAAGACTTAAAGCGCTTGGATGAAGCAAGAAGCCTTGGAGCACGAGAGGGAGAGGGAGAGAGAGAGAGTGTGTGTGTGTGGGTGTGTGTGTGTGTGTGTGTTTTGAAAAAATGAATGTGGAGTTGGGAAGAGGAGAAGAGAAGACATACCCACCCCCTCCCCTTTTTGCCGTTAGGAATTTAATCCTCCCTCCGTACCCATCTCACCACTTGAAAAATGGGTAAAACCATGTTAAAATTACCAAAATATCCTTTCTTGTTTTTGTTTTTGTTTTTATTTTTATTTTTATTTTTATTTTTATTTTTATTTTTATTTTTATAACATAAATAATTGTTTTTTGTTCTATGTTTCAAATAAAATATTTAAATGTGAATAACATATAAATTATGTTTAACCCCCCTCCCATGCCTCATTTCCACATGCCACCACCACCGTCCATCTCCTACAGTTCTCACTACCACCTACTATTGTTCAAACCGTAAAACTTAAATCTAAATCGAACCTAAACCTAAACTTTAAAATCAAACTCGATATCGAGAAAACTAAACCCACTAAAATCAAAACACTAAACTCAACATGAATATGTGGGTGCTACATTGGAGTGCTTTAGGTTTGAGGTAGAAGAAGGGAGAGGGAGGCTGGATATGGAGGAGTTGCAAGACCTGGAGGCGGTCGCAGGAGGGTTTTCTCGTTCGAAGGGAGGAGGGGGAAGGGAAGGTTTGATTTGGAGACATATCGAGGGGAAATAAGCAGGTCCCAGATTTGGTGCTAGTCGGTAAAGTTGCAAGTCCAATGTGTTATGGAAGTTGGTGTTGGTCTGATAGGGTTACAGGTCTGGTGGAGTTGGAAGCGACGGAAGCAATGCACTATGAAAATGGAGACTGGAGAGGGGTAGGTAAAACGAGTGTGTATATATATTATACTATATATTGATTAAATTTTATTTTTAAAGAAAAAAGAGAGGATATGGCAAAATCTAAAAGACCCCACATTTAAAGAGTTTTTTAACGACCGTTAGAGAAAGGGATCAAATTTGGTCATTTTCAAACCACAATAGCAAAACTATAGGGACAAAAACCAAGGTGTAACACCCCTAAACTCCACATTTGCATATAACACATATTTCATTACATGGAAATATAGTTTACATCCCAAGGTCCCACTAGTACAAGAATTCCTATATGTACAAAATCTACATATGAAAAATTCCGAAACAAATCCTGTACTAACACATGTAATACAACATGTATATTTAAAATAAGCAATCTTAATCAGATCTCCAAAAGCATATAACAGGTTAGGAAAATAATCACATTTTCCCTTTTCCTTTAATATCCCTGGACCCTGCCATTCCTGCATTGCATAATTTTAAAACAAAAAATGAGGGTTAGACCAGAAGAGTTCAGTGAGAAAATCCCTTCTTTGCAAATGCAGGGTGATAAACACCAAAATCTAATAAAGTAACTTTGCTCAGAAATATTTGTAATACAATCCAATGATGCAGTTCTCAATGATATGTATAAAAGAATAAACTCACGAACCCCAGTTCTATTACTAAAATACATCTGCTTAAAGATTCAACATTCTCAATATGAAATAATATTGTAACCAAAGATTCCTTGAATCATCAGACTAAAAAGACCAGAATTTCTCTGAAAAGATTTAAGGCAATACTTGCCTTTTTATGACAAACCATTTTCCCCTTCTCAATAACGTTTAAATTATTATTTTTAACAGGAATAATATATCTAATTTATCAGGTCACAAAGAAATGATTACTCAAAACTATTGAATCCAATTAGTAATAATAATAAGAGTTATAATAATATCCACATATGACAATGTCTCCCTTATTCCAAGTACACATCTCCTTGATATGTCACTCTTATTTCTCCACCAAAACATGGCTACTTATCAGAACAGACAAAAGTCACCATGTTTGAAAGTACTCATTCCCAGTTCCAAGCCATAACAGACAAAAGTCACCACGTCTGGGGAACTACCTCTTAAAACTAGTTTCTACCAAAACAGACTTACGTCACCACACTTGGTAGAAACAGTTTATAAAAATCCAATTCCATACCAAAACCGACTTACGTCACCACGCTTGGTATGAAGGTTTCCCAAAATATAGTTTCATACCAAAACCGACTTACGTCACCACGCTTGGTAGAAACATTTTCCCAAATCCAGTTCCATACCAAAACAGACTTACTTCACCACGTTTGGTAGGAACATATTTTTTTATTTAAAAAGATATAAAATATCCCTTTTTATAAATCCATAAATAAACCCAAATAATAGACATTTCTAAATTATATAAATGTCTAAAATATTTAACATTTGAAAAATTATCAAATATAAATCACCCRGATAAGTTATCCGGATATACAATCCGGACAACATTGCCCCTTTTGTCCGATATACTAATCCGGACAACACTTGGTCGATTTAAGACTAAGTTGCATGACTCATGTCCGGTTTAAGACAATCCGAACAACACATGATCGGTTTAAGACTAAACCGCTCAATACGTGATCGGTTTATGACTAATCTGCACGACCCTTAAGCGATTTAAGGCTAAACCGCACAATGTTTGGTCGTATTTCTACTTCTCCGTTCAAAACCTTTGTCCGATTTACATAATTCAAATTCACACTAACTCCCTAAATCACACAACACTTAATCAGATTATATCTAAATCGGACGATACTTGTCCGGTTTAAAAGCAATCCGGTCACCTCTTATCCGGATAAAATTCTAAATTGCACAAGCTTAAAGATAGTATGCAGTTCTTTCAAAAAAGCAATTAACCAAAACTTTAAAAGAGAATTTTTAGAAAATACTCACCTTTATGAAGATTTGAAGATGAAAGGTAATTTGAATCCAAATCTTGATTATCCGGACAACTCCTCTCAATTCTCTCTCAAATTTCCAAATAAGGCAAGAAGAACACTTTGTCTGATAACCCTTTCCCATATATATATATATATATATATATATATATATATATATACTTTTTCCAAATATGGAAAGTCGGTCAATCACCCCCCCTCACATGCATGCATATAAAAATTTATACACACACATGCACATGTTATGCTTATATCATGCGCACGCACACACACACACACACACACACACACACACATATATATATATATATATATATCCACATAATTTGCATATAATCCATGCATGAAATACACATACTTACGTATTTTAACAATGTAAGCATGTATTCACATAAACAATTAACTCACATAATAATGACCTTGGGTAATAATTAAGACCTGGTTATCACACAAGGAATTCGAAAAAAACACTTAGACCAAAAATACAGGTTACTCTTTGACAAATTAAAAGCTAACATTTTTAAAAAGGTAAGTTATATTGCTTATTGGTGTTCCTTTCTAATCATGTATCGTGTCTTTTATACAAGTGTCCCTTACATTTCCTTTTACGTCATTTTATGTTACCATATAGTCTATAAGCTAATTGTACCAAAGTAACTAGTTTATCAACTACTTTATCAACCAACAGCTAATTGATTAGCCAATAGCTAGTTTTTCAGTCAACATCTAACTGATCAACTAATTTGTTAAACATAACATAGAAAAAAACAAATGAGTCATAGTTATGGTAATTGTGACAAAAAGGATTGATGTTCGTATTATATCTGATGTACAAAATATTGTTTCTCAATTATTAATTAAGGAGAAATGACCATTCTGACTTTCCCGTCACAATGACGAGAGGCAAAAAAATTTTTGAATTTATTTATAAAATTATGTATATCATACCAATATTAAGGACAATTTTTAGTTTTAATTTGGTTATCTTAACATTCGAGGTCCACCCACAAATACATTTGTTTAATTTACAAGCATGATGAGTATAAATACAAAGGGTTTGTAATTTTTGGATACTCAATATAACAACATTGCATGTATTCTCTTATGTAGGATGTAAGTTATCAAGATTTTTATTTTATTTAATTTCACACTTCTATGAGAAGCTACACAAAAATCAAAAATTATAATATGGTAAATAAATCACATAAGTTCAATAAAATTCATTCGAATATAGGACTTGGAAATATATGATATATGCATACCACAATGGATTTAAGTACCCACTGGGGTTCTCTACCACCAATAAACTTAGGGTGTGTTTGGTTCGTAGGATTCCAATGGAATTTGAAGGAATTGAAATGATCAATTCTGTTGACCATATTCCATTTAAGCGTTTGGTTACCAATGGAATGGAATTGAATTCCACCATTCATGGATTTGGTCATTCCATCACAATTGAGAAGGAATTCAATTACATTACATCCCATATTCTCAAAAAGACAAATTTGTCCCCATCTTCCCTACTTGATTTAAACCACAGCCAACAATTGCCGACCACCACCAATCTGAACAACAGTCGATCTGAACCACAACCGACCGTTATCGATCTGAACCACCATCGACTATTATCGATCTAAACTGTAAACCACCAACGATCTGAACCACTGTCGACCACCGTTATCTAAACCACCTCCGACCACACACCAATCTAAACCACCATCAACCACCGCCATCTGAACCATCGCCAATCACGACCACATGAACCATCACTGAACACAACCATCTGAACCACCACTGACCACAGCCACTTGAACCACCACCGAATACAACCACCTAAACCACCGCCGACCACCATCGATTTGAACCACCACTGATCACCAATGATTTGAACCACTACCGACCACTACTGATCTGAAAAGCACATGGACCAAAAATATAGGTTACTCTTTGATAAATTTAAAAGCTAACATTTTTCAA